CTCGGCCTTAAAAATCTGGTGTATTATAATAAAGCTAGCGTTATGAAAATGGTGTGGGACATCGCATTGGAAAAGGAGATCTTGTGGATCAAATGGATCCATAATAGGTACCTAAAAAACAGTGATATATGGGAATGCCAAATCAAGACTGATGACTGCTTCTATTGGAAGAAAATACTACAAACAAGAGATTGCTTTGTGGAGATGGGTAGATCTAGCCCCTATACTACTGAGGCTGGATATCAATGGCTATTGGGCCAAAGGCTGAAACCAGGCTGGACTGGCTTGGTCTGGAATAGGCTCTCACTTCCAAAACATAAGTTCATCCTATGGCTCACCTGCAAGGATAAGCTTCTGACCAAAGACAGATTGAGGAGGTTTTATCCTATTGACACTCAATGTTTATTATTCTCAAATGGAGAGGAGGATAGACATCATCTTTTCTGCAATTGCCCTTACACTAGAGAGTTATATAAGAAGATGTATAATTGGAGCCATCAGCTATTTGAGGGGCAAACCTTCGAAGAGATTTGTGACCAAATTCAGAAGATAACACCAACTAAAAGAAGGATGAAGCAAACAGCAGTGTTTGCAGCTTGTGTGTATTACCTCTGGAAGGTTAGGAATCTGGTCTTTCATGAGAATTCCTTAACCCCAACTGAAGAAGCTTTCAACTGGATCAGATACCATGTTAGCACCTTCATGAATGCTAAAATATGTAGTCCTTATGTAAAATCATAGCTGCTTGTGTTATTATTAGTCTAAGTGTTAAACGCAGGTTTTGAAGCTTTGTATTTTGTTTTCCCGTGCTGCTATGCACTTATGTCTTGGATGATCAATAAATTTATTTGCATTTGGTTCAAAAAAAAAACATTAATAATAAATTTAAGAAGCAAACATGATAAATATTAATTCTAATGACCAGTTTTAAGAAAGTACACAACATAAAAAACACATAGAAAAAAAGTACAATTATTTAAACACATAATAAAAAAGTACACTTAAAAAATACTTAAAGCATAATTATTAATTTGCCCTATGATCCATCTCTCCCGGATAACGATTTTGCTGACGACGTCCTCGACGGGGAGTCTCTTCTAAGGGACGTATCGGTGGCAACACTTTCCAATCACCAACATACAAATTTTCTAGAAAAATGAAGGGTTCAATATATTCTGTAAATGTAACATGTCATCTATTCTGTAAATGTAACATGTCATCTATTCTAGGGCCCGCTAACTCTCTCTCCATCTCTCTTTCTCTTTTCATGTCATCCATTTTTGCATTACAAAAATAAAATAATAAAAAATTATTTTTTTATTCTTAATATTAGTGCATACAAAATTCATTAAGAAGATGAAGGTTAATATTAGTGCATATATTTGAGTGAAGTGGTGGGTGAATAAAAATATACGAGTGATAATTAAGAAGATGAAGGTTAATATTAGTGCATACTAAAATTCATTAAAAAAACATCGTCATAATTTCGAAAAATATATATATTCATGTAAATACTATCTTAAAAAAATATATTCATTAAAAAACATAATTTCGAAAAAAATATTTTCATAATTTTTTATAAAAAATTAAAAATATTATGGAGCACATAGATAAGAATATATAAACACAATCTTAATAAATCAAATGAAAATGAAAACTAATAAAAACATAACATTTATAATCAATATTATTAATATTTAAAAAAACTAAGTGAAATATAAGTAATAAAAAAATACCTGAGAAATGTTGAAGGTTAGAGAGTAGTGTGAAAATATGTTGAATTTGAAAAGTGAGTAGAATAATGGGTGAAGGGGTGATTTAAATAAAAAAAGTGAGTGATAATTAAGATGAAGGGGTGGGTGAAGTTGGATGGTTGGGGAAGAAGTGGTTGAAAGATGTGGTGGAGAGGAAGAGTTGGGAAGTGGGAAAGAGTGGAAAAGTGACGTGATTAAAGTGGGTGGGGAGCTCCATTTGATTCGCATGTACAACATGCAATTTTATTGCGATTTTACTGCAAAAACTGCAAAGGATTAGACTAGGGGTGTGCATTATTCGGTCCGGACCCGGACCGACCCGAAACCCGGCCAAAACCGGACCGGACCGGTCCGGACCGGTCCCTATTCGGTCCGGTCTCCGGTCCTCAATATTTCCTTATTCGGGTTCCGGTCCGGTCCGGTCCACCGGGTTTCGGTCCGAACCGGTGGACCGGTTATATTTTTTTTTTTGAAATATTTTTTCTATATAGTTTTATAATATTATATTTTTTAAGATATTTTCTTATACTTAAAAATTAATTTAACTAATACTAAAAGTTTTTCAAATATTTTGATTTTATTATTTAATATAATTTTTTAAATTTGTTTTCGATTCAAAATAAGATACTAATTCTAATGATATTTAAATATTTTAAATATGAAAGGTTTGAAAAAGTAAACGTAACCTTTATATCAACGATCTAATGCATTTAAAATTTATGTACTAATACTATAACTTAAATTTGTACTTTATCAATAATGAAACTCTAATCAGTAAAAATAAACATTATAAACAATGTCATTAATGAAAATAGTAAAAAAAATGTATCCATTTGCCAAAATAAATCGAAAACTCAAAAAATATATTACAAAAAAGCAAAAATGCAGTAAGAAGAAGAATATTTTCTATGTAAAATAAAAATTACAAACAAATTTTATGTAATACGGATGGAAGATATGTATTTTTTTTAAAGTTTTTGAAAAAAAACAACAGTGTTCGACAATGTTTAGTGTATGCTACAATTAAAAATTAGTTGTAGTAATATTTTTATTCAATTGAATACTTTAAATTAAATATATAAAAATTAAATTTTTTAAAAAAATTAAAAATAACATTTATCCGGTCCGGTCCGGGTTTTACCGGTCCGGTCCTTAGCTTAACCGGTCCGGTCCTCGGTCCACCAAATGTCCCTTATTCGGTCCCGGTCCGGGCCGGTCCGGTCCGGGTTTGACCCGATGAACACCCCTAGATTAGACAGTTCTGAAATTTTTTAAATTTAAGTTTTTTTAAAAAAAATCTCAGGTACTATGTGCGAAAGTCTTTCTCAGGAAATTAATGTTCCAATTTAGGAATTATTTTTTGCTTTTTTTCCATGTGAGGGAAACGACCCTCATTCGCAATGGCCGTTACATTCCTCACTAGAGGTGGCAATCGGATCAACCGGATCGGTTTCGGGTTGGATTTTTTCGGTTCAGATATCTTTCGGTTATATGCTATAATCGGTTCGGTTCGGTTCGGATCGGTTAAATTTCGGTTCGGAATTGATTTCGGTTCTATACATTTTTCGGTTCGGTTCGGTTTCAAGTCGGTTCAGATACGGTTTGGTTATAAATCGGTTCAGATAGATTTCGGTTCGGATATAATTTGAGTCGGATATATTTCGGTTTCGGGTCTAGTTCGATTCGGATATATTTCGGTTTCGGATCAAATATATTTTGAATATATATTATTTTCTAATCTTCCCCTTTTGACTTTTTAGTCATATTTTACAAATTTGGACTACAAATTATGAAAACATATATATATATATATATATATATATATATATATATATATTTAATTATAATATAAATTTAATATAATTAAATTGATTTTAAAATTTAGTTTTGAAAGATAAAAATTTTCTCACATCTACTAATATACTTATGTATATAAATGAAATGATAAAAGATAAATTCAAATAGTCTTATGTTCCATTTGAATAGAATTTGGTAAAAATTGAGTAAAATTGGGTGAAATTAAGTGAATTTTATTCAATTGAGTGCAAAATTTGTAAATTGTTGAGTATATTTGGTTGAAAATAGAGAAAATTAAATTTAATAGAGTCAAATATAATTAATTTTACACCTAAATGTAATGATGTAGATCAAATTTGAAAATGATAACAGTAAAGGCTGCCGCTAGAGAGTCTTTTCAAAATGCTAACACTAGCATTTAATTTTATTGTTGAATTGGTTTGAAACTAATCAAATTAACTCTCAAATCAATAAAATTTATTGTAATGAGATGAAATTAGGATAAAATCTAATGATTACATACAATTTATCATATATATTCCTTTCGTCCCTAAAAGAATATCACACTTCACTATTTAAAAATTACGAAAATTTTATTTGTTTGTGCGTTATCATTTATATGTATAACTTATCTTTAATTTCTACATATAATAAATTTAAGGCATAAAAATTTGTACTTTTTTTCAAGAAGATAATCCATTTTATGAGGGAATGAGCAAGTAATGTAACTAGTTCAAATGGTAAAATAAAAGTAAAAATTTAAAAATATAATATGCTTATTGAAAGGTAAACATACTTCTGAATTTATCGATTTTAGTTCTAATCGAGTTCGGATATTATCGGTTTCAGATCTAATCGGTTTCGGATTTTATCGGTTTCGGGTATTATCGGGTCCGGATCTAATCGGTTTCGGGTTTAATTGGTTCGGATATTATCGGTTTCGGATCTAATCGGTTTCGGATTTAAATCGGATATGAATTATTTAGTTCGGTTTCGGTTCGGTTCGGATCATTTCGGGTTTTCGGTTATAGATCGGATCTTCATTTTTCGAATCATTCCGGTTTCGATTTCGGATATTTCGGTTCGGGTAATCGGTTCCGGTTCTGTTTTGCTAGACCTCACTGGCCCAGCTGTGATGGCTGCTGCCTCCATCGCTGTCGGCCTTCGAGGCGTTCTCTTACACGTTGCCATTGTCCAGGTCACCAATCCATCCATTATTATTCCCCCGACAATTCCCCGCGAGCCTATTCCTTATTAACTCTCCATCTTGTCTGCCTGCAGCAGCGCGCAGGCTAATTAACCCAACTAACCTTTGTTATCATTTTGTACTATAATAATATGATAACAGGCTGCTCTGCCTCAAGGAATTGTCCCCTTTGTCTTCGCCAAGGAATATGGCGTGCACCCTGACATTCTTAGCCCTGCGTACGTTATTCTCATCCCACTACCTCCCATCCCCGTGCATGCTTTCCAACTCTTACTCCCTCCATCCCTAAAAAAAAATGTTTTCCTATTCGAACAACATGTAAAATTTTGTGACTTTTGAAATCATTTTATCTATAAATTGACATAGAAATAAAAAATACTACTTCTGTTTCTGAGTATTTATCCAGTTTTGATATTTTTCTGTCAATTGTTATAACTTTTGATCTATAATTAAAAAAATTTTATATTGCACATTAATTAGATAAAATAATATTTTGAAAAGTTTGATATTATAAATCTAATAAAACTATTTTTGTATCAATATCTCATATTATTTTTATTTAATTTAATGTCAAAGTTTACCAATTTTGAATGGAAAAAGTTAAAAGTAGACAAATACTCAGTGACAGAGAGAGTAAAATTTAGAAACTACATAACAAATTCTACAAAATAAGATGTGACAAAGATTAAGTGGTATATACAGAAATTTGATACTCCCTTAATCTCAATGTATTTATCTAAGCTGACATTTTCGATTCAATCTCGATAAACTTAGAGTTTCAATTGCTCTTACTTTGTATTGTATATTAGGCCATGCTCTCTCCAACTTATTTATATTACTTATTATTTTTTCTTGTTGGAATCATTTTAGATAATATCATATTGGACCAGATCAGATCAGAAATAGTTTTAAATATAACTACATTTAGACTAGATCAGACCAGATCAAATTAGATCAGAACTTATTCAATTCAAATCAGTATCATTCAGATCTAGTGAAAAGAACATGACCTTAGTGTAATAAGATAAAATTTAAAAAGTTTTCAACAAGATATCTCTAATAATATCATATTTATACTAATATACATTGCAGTTTTTGTTTATTTGAAATTCACAGTTCGTCTTATTTGACTTGAAAAACTCAAATTCAGACAAAATCACTGAGACAAGGAGAGTTATCAAAACTATTAAAACTAAATTCTAAAGTAAACTCATCTTTACAAAATTTATATTATAACAAGATATATGTTTTTCATAATTATTTGTCAAAGTATAACACACTATGACAAAAAAAGTTAAATTATGGTGATCTTTTTGGGACAGAGAGTAAAATCTTTAGAAATATTGAAAAACTACTTCCTCCAAGCATTATTGTCTTCACTATTTAAAAGTAATAGAAACTTTATTGTTTGTTTGTGCGTTTTGATTCATTATTCGATGAAATAAAATATTCTTTTTTATTTCTTGTTTTGAAGAACTTTTGATCTAGTTTTTTAAATATGTAAGTTTTATTTGAAATTTCTATAACATTTTTTTTAAAAAAAAATAGATGAAATATGTTTAAAATTTTATTAGGTTTTACGTAAATTGTACTCCCTCCGTCCCGGAGTATTCGTCCAGTTTTGACTTTTGGAACTGTTCATCTAAGCATTTTGACCCATCAAATTCTCTCATTGTGTAAGCCTAAATATAGTCATGTGTGATCTTGTTTGATTTTCTTAACATATAGATTATTAATATATAATTTCTATAATTTTTTAATATACAAATTACAAGATAAAATGGATTAAAGAAGTACATTGGATGGTGTGTAAAAATGAAAATAAACAAATACTCTGTGACGGAGGTAGTATTAAACATTAGGACTTACGAGACAAATTTTGATAAAAGGAATGGTTGCATCTAATTTGGAATGGCAGAATGGACTCTCTTTTTATCAAATGGTACTTTGTACGTAGTTACATTGTTATCAATTCCCTCCAACATAAAATCCTCTGAATCTTGTAAATTTTTAACATCGATCATATCTACACCAACACTGCAGAGTCATATTTGGGATGCTAATTGCCTTACCAATAACGCTAGTCTACTACATTTTGCTGGGATTATGAACATGATGGAAATGTCTGCTTCAAATTTAAAACTTCGACCAAACTCCGAGCACAAAAAAGGAGGGAACGAGGGCTATTCCAATTAAATGGTTCATGAATCCAGCCTCAGTATTATGTCTCTTGTACTCAATTGTTTGATCTAGGGAAAGTGTAAAAAATGTGCTATGCTTAGTTTATTTATGGGATGTCCAATAGATTAGAAAACTAACGGCTCGTGGCATAAGTTTTCTCATTTTATTATCTGCTTTCTTCAGTAGAGTGATTCGATGCAGCAATGGTGTTGGCTTGAGATATTAGAAGGAAATCGAACCCCAAAGTTTAGTATCTTTCCTAGTTCGCTTAATCTCTATATATACAATGGTAGGAGGCCAAAATGAACCGTGTTCCCGCCTAAAGTTATTGGGCCGGGTTTGGGTAAATTGGGCTGAGATGTGCAGTGGGCCTTTATTCGGATTTTGGGTAGCGTGTAGTGCGCCAGGCTGTTCGGATTTTGGACAGCGTGTAGTGCGCCAGGCTGTTCGGATTTTGGACAGCGTGTAGTGCGCCAGGCCTGTGTTCGGATTTAATATAGGGCAGCTTTTTTTAATAGGGTGGCTTAGGTAATCATGAAAATAAACTATTGGGGAGTGTGAGCACGTATTTACAGTGCTTAAAAGCACTTTTTAAGAGCCTAATTACTTAATGGTCATTTAATGCTTTGGATTTGAAAAAATCTTATGGTACATGGGCATTAAATGCAAGAGATCCTCCACCTATCCAAGAACATTATTTAAGGGAAGTTTAAGGGCCAAATTCTCCATCACCCACAAAACTTCCTTACCAACAAGAATATCATTATGTCCAAAAAGCCTTTAAATGAAATGTGACACATGCTTGACCGCATTGATAACGAAAAAATGGGATGGATACTTAAGTTGCGAGCAATCCGAGTTTACCATATTCCGGCATGCTCTAAGGGCGGAGATTCCATGGAAGTCATCTTCCACGACGAATGCGTAATTTCTTAGTATACTTTCTTACACAATATTTTCGCTCTTCTAAACTTATTTTCTAAATATTTTCTTTTTTTATGCAGGGGACAATGATTCATGCTCAACTTAAGAGTTCCGAAAAGAAGCGTTTTGAAAACCAAATTGTTGAAGATGGCGTCTTTGGAATCCGAAATGTTTTTGTTAGTGATAATTACCAAACATGCAAAACAACTTCGCATAAATATTTGTTGGTTTTTTTATCCAAAAACAGAAGTCAAGACTCTAAGTGAACTTATTTTAGGGTGAAAAATTGTGGAAAAAAAGTTAGACACTTGTGGAGTTGATAATAACTTAAGTGGAAAATAGCTAAAAACTTTCTATAGTTTAGCTGAGCTTTGGACTTTGTGAAATTCAATAAGTTAATTCATTATGACACGTTTTTCAATTAACTAAGATCTACAACCCATTTAATGAATGAATATTTGGCCATCTAAACATTCTAATCCTTTCTATATAAAATGATTTGTAATCTTTTAAAATCTAATTTTAAAAATTCAGGCTAAAATTTGAGTATCTAAAACAGCTTTAACAGTTTGAGTATCTAAAACAGCTTTAAATTCAAGCTAAAATTTGAGTATGGAAACTCTTTATGTATCTAATGAATTATAATCTCTTAAAACATCGGAGTAATTTTTAAGAGTCGGTCGAATATTTGGGGTGATAACATGAATTAAAATAAATTAAAGATCTATATTTTTTAAGGGTAAAGTTTTCATGGCCTGCCTCCACCATACATTAAAAAATGATATTTATACCATAGTTTTAAAAACCGGACCGGACCGGCCGGTTCGGACCGTGAACCGGCGAACCGGTGGTCCAACCGGTCCGGTCCGGCCCATTGGACCGTAATGCGCTTCGAACCGGTCCGAACCGGTGTGAACCGGTAAGAACCGGCCGGTCGGACCGGTCCGACCAGTTTTTTTTTTTTTTTTTTTTTTTTTTTTTTTTTTTTTTTTTTTTTTACAATTTTTTTCCAAAAGTTCACTCCATGGAGGTTTGAACCCAAGACCTTCTAGCTGTTTGGTTAAGTTCCTAACCATCCAACTAACGGTGTTTGTTGTTTCAAATTCATATAATTTTTTTAATATTTCATAATTAATAAAAAGATTGTATAAAAATTACTTTTCAATTTTAAAAATATAATACGTAGTATTATATGTTATGAGTCAAACACAAAATCATTGATATGTTTTTAATAAAATTTTAATATTATTTTTAACATGTAAATTTCATCTTTTAATTTAGCAAAATAACTCAAGTATGTTAATATAATTTTAGTCCAATATTATAAATTACTTTCTTTATGTATTTATATATGAGAATGTGTGTGTGTGTGTATATATATTTATATATATATTTATATTTATATTTATATTTATATTTATATTTATATTTATATAATTTTTAAATATGTTTAAACCACCGGTTCGACCAGTTGAACCACTGGTTCGACCAGTGAACCAGTACCTTGACCGGTTCGGTCCCCGGTCCGGTTCTCAAAACTATGATTTATACATCCAAAACATGTTTTTATATAGAAAACTATTTTAAAAACAGCTAATTTAATTATAATAAATTGATCATATTAGTAAAGATATAATTTATAATTTGAATTTAATACATAAATACCGGAGTATTAAAATAAGATTTGAAAATCTCTTGGACTGACAATCAGTTGGTTGGACAATATCTTTGTATTTAATACACTTACTTTTTAGATTGCCAAGAAATATATACAATATCTTCAACACCTAAGTGTATGTACGGTTATTGGTTTCTCCCTAATGCTACTCTACTAAAAATCATCCATGAGAAATAAAGCATTTAATAAATCAAGGATTTCAAATGGCTGCTGGATTTCACAACAGCCGTAGCCTAAAATTTATTACTACCTCCGTCCCCAATTTGATTACAAATTGCGGGCTGCGAAGTAAAAATTTCTGCTTTAAATCTTTATATTTACAAATGAGCTTATATAAATGCAATGTAAAAATTACATATTAAAAAACTTCGTCAAAAGTTCTACAAAGCAATAGGTAAAAGAATATTTTATTTTTTCAAATCTTTAATGAAATCGCGTTAACAAACAAAAGTTATCGAGACTAGGAGAAAAAAATTTGTAATCTATTTAAAGACGGAGGAAGTACTCATTTATGCTTTTTGGGAATGGGCATGGGGAACAAAGCATTTAATACATGCACGGATCTCAAATGGCAACTGGATTAGACAATTTGTAACCTACCATTTAATACTCTTTTAATACGGTTTGGAATAGGCATGGGGAACAAAACATTTAATGCATGCACAAATCTCAAACGGCTGCTGGAAATGTAATTGGGGAGCCTACCATTTAATAGGCTACTAATACCAAAGAAAGCGTGGTAAACATAGCAATAAATACAAATCAGTATCTTCAGGCGGCTGCATCTTTAATTATGGGGTACTGCGTCTTTAAAATTTTATTTCTATTTTTAAATTATAAAAAATAGATTTTATTCATATTATGCGTTTAACAAAAAACAGATTTTGAAAACATTTAATATAATAGAAATAAAATTTTAATTGAATTTGCATTTGATACACTTAATTATTTCCACTATATTGTCTGCATTAAATTAGGAATTAGAAAAAATTTAACACTAAAACATAATGATATTAAATAATACCTGTTGAATACTTAAAAAATTTAAAAAGTATAGTTATAAATTTAAATTAAGGTGTTCTACGATAATTGGTATTTATTGAATTCATAGTGTGTGTGTGTTTGTGTGTGTGTGTGTGTCTATATATATATATATTTTATATATATATATATATATATATATATATATATATATATATATATATATATAATTCGAAGTAAAATTCAGAAAATATATATAGATATATAATTATATATATTTGATTTTCTATATATATAGAAAATATACACATATTATAATTAAAATGCTCAAAATATATACTCTGTATAAATTTAACAAACATAGCAACCGTATGTTAGACGCGATTTCATATACCCCATTTGTACACCACAAGTTTGCACAAATATTTCGATGGTTTACACCGACATAAGTGTTGGTGCGTTAATAAAAATTCACACGGACACAAATGTTGGTGCGTTTAACAAAAATTAGTTTTATACCAACACAAAGTGTTGGTGCAAAACTGCGGGGTACAAACCTTGGGGTACACATAACATAATCCTTTTCTCATTTATATCTCACTACATATCTCTCATTACATATCTCTCAACCTATTCCTTACCACAATAAATTCCATACAACTACACCAACAACCACATTCAATACAACCTCATTCAATCCAATCTCATTGAAGATAATCAACTTTCAAGGCTTATTTTTCAAGGGAAATGCTACGTTCACAAACAGAAGGATCACAAACTTCACAAACTTACTATTTATGGTTTAAGTTCTCATTTCTAAATTATTTTAGACTATTTAATTTTCTTTATTGAAGTTCACAAATGGTAAGTTTGTGAAGTTTGTGAAGTTTGAGTTTGTGAACCAAGCATTTCCCATTTTTCAAGGTTAGAAAATACTCTTTATTCCATTCTCATTATTAATAAACCAAATTCAAAAAAAATTCTATTACACCTCAATGTTCTGTTTTTAATAATGCATTGTGAAAACGAAAGTATACTGTTAACTATTAAAAATCTATTTTAGATTTCTGAATAAAAAATGTTTTAAATCTCTGTTTTTTAAATATTGGTTCCTATCATTCATTAAAATTAAACATGTTAATCCAAGAAATCTGTGAAGACATACTTGGTTGAAATGAGAAAGCTCACAAAAAGTGCAACAATCAATTCCAAAAGTGTGAAGGATGATGAATTAGAGAAAGGTATGATACATAAATAAATTAAATTGGGTATGCAACTGAACTTGGTTCAATATTTGATGACATATTAATAATTTTATTATAGGGTAAAAAACCTGAACTCAATATAGAATTAAATTAAGGTCCATTAATCAATATTTAAAAAAATGATTTTACCCGTTCATAACTTAACTCATTCTAATTAATTAAACTTATTAGACAAAAAAAGATGTAATTAATATATGCAATATAAAAATTTGTTACCTGTAAAATCTGTTTCCTTGCTGAATTTCCTCGAAATAACCAACCGTGGAAGAATGACTTTCAAGTGTGCAATTAAACCCTTACATGTTCAAACATAATACTTGAACATGTCCAAAAAGGTTTAATAACTCTATATATGTTTTGATGTACACTCCCATATATCAGGTCAAATGATTAAGTTAGAATTACGTTTTATCGAAATCAATTGAACTGGATGTTAAATGTATACTCTATAAACAATTATACAACGTATAAATAATGTCAGACCTGCAATTTCTTAAAATAAATTTGACAGAAGGGTTTATTCAGTTATAATTTAAATAGTTGCAGATATTGTAACTTATTGACTAAAATAACTTATAATTTGTTGTGAAATATTTACATTTCCACCAATTTTAAAACCATTGCAATCTATTTCATTATAATTACTTTCTAAAAAATAAATAAAAAACTATTACCCCCTTAGTGAGCAATTGATGTTACAAAATTTCAATGAGAAACTGAAATGGAATTACGAACTGGGAAAAATTTTCGGTAATCCTCTGCATTTCAAAGGTAATTCATATTTTCTTTTATAAATTATACTCTTATTAAAATTAGTTTTTAATAATTAACATGCATGGTTCTTTAAAAATAAATCTAATTAATTCAATTAATTTGAACTTACGAAGAATTTTTAAAATATTTGGAACATTTATCAAATCATTTCGATCTATAAAAAATCAAAACTTGATGCATGATTGTTTTAGATTAGATCTAAACATTTTCATAGATATGAACTTAGAAAAAATTTGGATTGAATTTCAATATTACAAGAAATTTACGGATCTATAAAAAACTTCAATGCCTGATTTAATGGGAGTGTGAAATACCAAAAAACAGATCTTACATACACTCTCTCGCTCTCAATCGATCTCTCTGCGTTCCATCGCCGGCTAGGTCTGGATTAGGTTAGAGAGAGGAAAACGCAAGATACAGCGGTAGAAAATGTGTGGTCCGCTGAATAAACGACGGTCAGCTTATCTACGGAGTATATTAAATTTTGGGCTGCGTTAATTGGCCAGTATGTTTTCAAAAATGGATTTTCTGGGCTGTTAATATTATTGTATGGGCCAATTTTACAAACAAAAAATTGTTTTAATCAAAATTATATTCTATAAATTCATTTCAAAATTGAACGGAATAAAATTTTAGAACTGTTTTTTTTTCACAATTTAAGCAAGAATTGGATGTTGGTTGCGTGCATGTTACAAGTGCAAGAGTAAGCGAGACTCAGATTTTATGGAACCGTGTTGGAAATGTTTTTCCGTACGTGGTCATCTTTCGTGCTTACAAATTGGGGACGTTAAATGGGAAGTGTTTTTTGTTTGTGATGATTGTGCGAGACTACCACCACCAATAATGCCACGACCTACACGCCGACAATCTAAGCGAGTTAAAACTCCAAACAAGAAATATTTCAACGATCTTTATGTTCTTCATTAAATATGTTAGATGTTATGCTTTAATTTGTAACATTTTGATACATTCACTGAATGTCATGTATTCGAATCAGTTTATGTATGGATTTTGTTTTCATTGTATCCAATGCTTTTTATAATTAAGATCATAATTATTGTTTTGTTATGAAATTCCAAGATTGCATGACACTACTTATGATCAACATATCATTCTATAAGCTTACCAAGACAATAATTTTATTTTTTAAATATTTTTGAAGTATAACATCTAAGTTCGTCTTCTTTGAGTATCACAATTTTCTTTTGAAAATTCATAATTTAAAATTTATAAAGATAACTACGCTTAGGATATATAGTCACTCGATGGCTCTTTATTGTTAAATTACAAATTGAATGTATCAAGTCGCGAGGGATTAAAGATCTTGATTTGCAATAAAGACCTGCCGTCAACGAACATAACTACAAATGTAGTTTATAAAGAAGTGTTCCAAAACTTATAACACTGTATATCGACTACGGTCGTTCATGTACGTTACCTTATATTGGGTATTTTAAATATATTTTGTTATCTTTTAATTTTTGTATCATTTCTTTTTCATTTCATGACTAAATAAAATTAATTTTTCCGCCCGTGCATCGCACGGGTACGAGTCTAGTTCTTGTTAAAGTAGGAATAAAAATTTTCTTGTTTACTTTATCCTCTTCCTACATAAAGAATGTTAGATCTTTGTATTCATAAGACAATTCAATACAGAAATACATACCTTCTCCCATTATTATTTTTTTTCATGGTATCGGAGTAAGTTTTTAATTTTTGAGACCTCAAACACGCTTCCACTCTCTTGCCGGTGGGCATACATACTTCAATGCCTACTAGTGGGATATCGTGACCTTTTGTTTTTCTTCCCGAATAATCGTTGGACGTGCCTTTTTGTTGCGTTCGACCGACATAACGCCATCTACGTCAGCGTCCACTGCCATGGCAACCTCCATAAGTACGCTAGAGTTTGCTGCAAGTGCACGCCGTCCATAAAGTCGATATGGCATATGGTTGTTCCTTCTTGGCAAAGATTATGACTGTTAAGGAATTGGAGCCACTACTCTTGAAGAATTCGTCCAACAAGGGTTGTTCTGCAGAATGAGGACAATTTCTTCAAGGAGAAAGTTAAAAAAATGGCATTCAGAATATTCAAAAAGAATGACTTTCATCCTGTTTGTTTGAATTCTGTAACACCCTGCGATTTGCGAACCCGGGATTTTAATTGCTAATTTTCACCATTCAAACTATTAAACAGAATTAAAAATTCTACTTCAATCTTAACTAGCTGAGGGGCTGCAAAATAAAATCATCGGCAATGACAGATCCAAAAATTAAAGTTTCTTGGGAAGTAGGGCAACATCGGTCGCAATAATGTTGGGTCTGGAGCCAGCGCCTTAGAATATTTTTCAAACATGCAATGAGAGACGACAAAAAGTTAAGAATTTAATACTCCCTCCGTCCCCAATTTGATTACAAATTGCGGGTTACGGAGTAAAATTTTCTACTTTTTAAAATCATTTTATTTACAAATTGGTATATCAATAAGATATAAAAATTACATATTAAAAAACTACGTCAAAAGTTCTACTGATACGAATATCGTATCGGATAGGAAAGAACTTTGAGCGTCTTCGGGCTCCAAGAAAGGGGAGGCAAAGAGAGAAGGAAAACTTCGAGCGTTTCCGGGCTCCAAGAACAAAGAGACGAGAGATTAAGGGAATTTTTTATTATTGATTTATTCAATGATAATGATACGAGATTACAATATATAGAGATGAGACGCCACACCTACATGACCTAATGGGCTCGGGCCCATACAAAAACTCTAATCTATAAAATACTGATAAATAATAATAACTAACTACTAATTAAATAATATAACTAATCAAAATATTCTAATTAACTATCCGTATCATTCACACCCCCTTAAAAACCACTTTGTCCTCAAGGTGGAGGCTCCCACTCATGCTTTAAGACTATAGAAAGAATGCCGAGCCAGAGGAGCAGTCCACTATTTGAATCTTCTAGTATCTTGGATCTTGGATCAAATTGAGGGACATGCGAGATAGAGCCAATACCACATGTAGGTTCTCTAGGTGAAACTTGGTGCTTTGTCATGACCACATCAACAATGTCAAACAACTTAATGGTGTCAAATGAAATGGGGTTGTCCGCTTGCTTAATATCTTCATCTGCCACCTTGTTGACACTTTCTAGAAGGGCAAGCTCATCAATGACCATACAAGTTAAGGCATTGATCGGAGCATAACATTCACATGATGGACGATCTAAGGTGTCCGCATTAACAATATTTGATGAAATATCACCTTTATTATTTTCAACGGCGTTGGACCTCTTGTCCTCTTCATTCATGAGTTTAGGCCTATTGTCCATAACATCCCCAACATGTGATTCGGCGCTTGAGTCATCCTTTAATTCCTTTTCATGAGACTCAGTGTTTTGTACATTGACCACAAAAGCTAAATTTGGTGGAGAGAGTGGGGCACTAGTGAGGTTCTGGATGACCTTCATCATGTTTATTTTGAAATTTTGCAACTCCAACGGAATCAAACTCGGTAAAATTGGGGGACCACGGACTAGATCTTGTACCGAACAAAAAATTTCGATGTCGAGCGCATCATAATCAATTTGCCCTTTAAAATTATGGATCGACCTGAGCTTTATACTGACCTCATACACATGATCAAAAATCATACACAGTCCTTCATCATGCTCAATTTCTCCATAAAGAACTTTTTCCAGCAAATCAATGAGTTTTTCAAATGTAGAGTCCATTTTCAAAATAAACACTTCCACACAAAAATATCACAAAAAAACTTTTTTTTTTCCGACTTACTGCCCACGAAGATATACGGACTGCATGCGATGAGCAAATTGGTCTTGAAAGCTCCAAAGAAATTACTCCAGTGGCTGCACTTCGATGAATTGATTGGCGACAATTAAATCCCCCCAATTGATGGTTATGCACTATCAATCCCCTTTAAGAGTGATTTTCCAACTGGCGGCGTGATCCCACTGCGACGGATCTGGTTTGGGCGGTGTAAAATAAATTTGCAGCGTCTAGGTTTGATTGCGGAGATTCTGCAGATGGAGATGCGGCGATGGCGGCGAGCAATTCTTTTCTCGATCTTTTTTTTTGAGTTTTTTTTACTCTCAACGAGAGCACCAATTGATACGAATATCGTATCGGATAGGGAAGAACTTCGAGCGTCTTCGGGCTCCAAGAAAGGGGAGGCAAAGAGAGAAGGAAAACTTCGAGCGTTTCCGGGCTCCAAGAACAAAGAGACGAGAGATTAATGGAATTTTTTATTATTGATTGATTCAATGATAATGATACGAGATTATAATATATAGAGATGAGACGCCACACCTACATGACCTAATGGGCTCGGGCCCATACAAAAACTCTAATCTATAAAATACTGATAAATAATAATAACTAACTACTAATTAAATAATATAACTAATCAAAATATTCTAATTAACTATCCGTATCATCTACAAAACAAGAGGTGACAAGAATATTTTATTTTATCAAATACTTAATGAAATCGCGTAAAGAAGCAAAAGTTATCGAGAGGAGAGAGAAAAAAAATTGTAATCTATTTAGGGACGAAGGGAGTATCAAACTATTAATCAAATAGAAAATCAAAAAGTCTAAAAATAAAACATACTTCCTCCGTTTCATAAAACCCTTTCTCTTTCGTTTTTTTCTAATTCCTTAAAACACTTCCATTTTATATTAAAAAACTACTTTTACTCATACTTTTTCATACCTTACCAATCACATCATACTTTTTTCACTAATAACCAAACTATCACATCTTACTTTTACGCATCACATCAGAGGTAAAATTGGAAAGTCAACCAAAATTACACTTTCTTTATTTTGGCCTAAAGTCAAAATGGAAGGATTTAAAGCAACGGGGAGAGTATAATTTATGGACTACATTATTACTTAGTTTAATTAGAGTCTAATTGTAATGTTTCAGTTTAGGTTTTACTTTTGTCATTTTTAAATGTTCCACTTTGATATTCTATTATATTCGTATTAAATGTTTTTTTTCCAGTTTTTTTACTTACTTTTTCAATTGGGGTCCATAATTTTTGTAATTGAGGTCCCAAGATATATAAATGCTTTAAAGTATATACCTTATGTTAGCGTCTATATATTTTATGTGTGTATTTTGTATTAGTCTCCTCGTTTATATCACCGAGCTGGTTCATCTTTTATATCACCCATATTCATGTTTATGGGCATTTGTATCAATGAACCCAAACAATTCCAAGTTCCAATTCTTCTTTATGAGAGATAAACCTGGAATTTTTTTCGCCTCGTGCGTGTCCAAGGGCTCAAATGACAGTGGGTTCTCTGTCCGGCGGCCGTTCCTAGAAGAGTTCGGCATCGTCCATCATCCCGGAGTTCGGCATCTGTCCGGCGGCCGTTCTGGCCGTTCGTATCCTGGTCGCGCAAATCCGCCTCATCTTCTTCGGCCGTTCATATCCTGGTCGCGCGATTCAGTCCAAGACCCCTGTTTCGATCGGATCGTCTGTCCCAGGTCCGTCCCTGTTCCGGTCGGTGAAGATCTGCTCCTGTTCGGGTTTACTGCTGCTGTCCGTCCCTGTTCTGTTGTCGTCACTGTGTCAAGGCCGTCACCTTCTGTAGCTGCTGTAGAGGAGTCGCCAATTGACAGCAATCCACTCATTTCCACTTTGATTCGGGCTGGTGCGTGAAATCCACTTGCAAATAAGCCAATTTACACCAATCCACTTTATCTACTAAGGCTGGTGCGTGAAATATTGTGTTGTTGTGGGTAATAGCAATCCACTGTGATTTCGGCCAAATTCATTACATTTGTGGACACAAAATTGAATGGTGATAAAATGGCTTGGTTAATGTCTCTTATTGACTCTTCTACATCCAATCAAAGAAATGATGTGACTTTGATACAAGAAAAGAGACTGCAGGTGCTGAGCTGGATAGTTAGTTACGGATGAGTTGGAATCCTAACCAATTCTGTTGAAGATTCTGTTTCAATTCTTCTTCTCTTAATGTTGTATATAAACCCCTGCATCTTGTAATAGCTGGACATGAATGAATAAACACAAATCTCCTTCTTCTCTCTCTATATTCTCTGGTTATTCTCTCGGATTTATTCCCTGGAATATCAATTGATTCTTCGAAGTTTATGCTTCCTGGAATCTGCGTTTTTTGTGCATCATAGTGGTATCAGAGCTGATCGGTCCTTGGATCTTGAAAATGACGAGAAATCCGAATTCAGAGTCGGTTAATGAAGAAGCAGAAGATAAATTTGCAGCAATCCAAACTCAATTGCAGAAATTGATGGAAGGAATGACCATTATCAATGATCGCAGCTCCAAAACGGATCAAGAGTTGGGCAAATTGAAGGAAATCCTGAGGACTATGGAACCGAGGGATAAGGACAGGGAGGAAGAGTCTTCACACGGGAACAAGCGATCTGAAGGTTCTTACCATCCTACATCTTCTGGTAACACTCTTACTCGCTTTTCCAGACTTGATTTCCCCAAATTTTCCGGTTCCGATCTCAGAACTTGGTTGTATAAAGTGGAGCAAATCTTTGCAATGGATGAAATTCCGTCTGAACAGAAAGTTAAAATTGCCTCCATCCATTTGGAAGGGGAAGCCATTGCTTGGCATAGATCTTACATAAGGAATGTTAATATGGCTAATCAAAGTTGGACAGAATATGTTCTAGCTCTTAATGAAAGATTTGGTGAAGCCTTTGAAGATCCTATGGAGGAACTTAAGAACCTGACCCAAACAGGTAGTGTTAGGGAATATCAGGCTGCTTTTGATAAACTCATGACTATTGTGAATTTGACAAATGAGAATGCAATTAGTTGTTTTATTGGAGGCCTGAAAACTTAGTTAAATAAGGCAGTAAGGATGCATTCCCCGAAGACACTTATGCAGGCTTATAAGATTGCAAAGTTACAGGAGGAAGTATTTTGTGCACAAGCAAGATCATGGGGTCTGAAAAATGGTATGAGGAACCAGGGGGGTATTCTACCTACTCCAGGGCAACCAAAACCAGCAGTAAACCAAAAGCCAAATCTCAATACATATACAAAGAATCAGACAGCAAATCCAGCAGGTCGGAGACTAACAACAGCAGAAATGGATGAAAAAAGGGCCAAAGGGTTGTGTTTCTTTTGTGATGAAAAATATGTATTGGGTCACAAATGTGCACACAAGAAGCAAATATTTCTGGTTGAGGTGGTAGAGGAAGTTTCAGAATTGAATGAAACCTCAGATCTAAAAGATGATGAATCCATTGAATTGGAAGAGTTGATGACCATATCTCTGCAAGCATTGATGGGTGTCACTGGGTATCAAACCATTAGAGTCACAGGGTATCATAAGAAGCAACCCTTGCAGATTCTAATTGACACTGGAAGCACACACAATTTTATGGATCAAGAAATGGCCAAGCAACTTGATTGTCAAACAAGTGAAATTTTGGAGCAGTCCATTAGTGTAGCTGACGGGAGGAAGGTTCAGACAGCTACTGTTTGCAAAGATGTACAGTGGTTGTTACAAGGCACTGCCTTTGTATCTGATTTTTTGCTACTACCACTTGGTAATGTGAATATTGTCTTGGGAGTTCAGTGGTTAAACACTCTGGATAAGATTCTATTTGATTTCAAAAATAGAATTATTGAATTCAAGTTTGAAGGAAGGAAGCATGTGTTGAGAGGGGCCAACAGCCAACTAAAAACAACTAGGGTTAAGACAATGGAGAAGGACTGTGGTAACAAGGCTCAGTTTTTTATGATGACTTTGACTACTAAAGAGAAGGAAGACATTTCTTGCCATCTCATACAAGCTGAGCAGTGTGATCAAATTCATCCTCAACTTGCTCAATTAATAGAGCAATTTGGAATTCTTTTTGAAGTACCTGAAGCACTGCCCCCTAATAGAGGAGCATTTGATCATAAGATTCCTTTAAAGGAGGGTTCCAATCCCATAAGTAAGAAGCCTTATAGATATCCAGGAGTCAAGAAGGATATCATTGAGAAGCTGGTGCAAGAAATGTTGGATCAGGGGGTAATTCAGCACAGTACCAGTCCATATGCATCTCCTGTGGTGCTTGTGGGAAAGAAGGATGGTAATTGGAGGTTATGTGTTGATTACAGGGAGTTAAATCAACAAACAATCAAGGATAAATTTCCCATTCCAATCATTGAAGATCTATTGGATGAGCTAGGAGGGTCTATCTTGTTCTCTAAAATAGACCTAAGAGCTGGATATCATCAACTGAGAATGCATGAAAAGGATGTATACAAAACCGCCTTTAAGACTCATGAAGGACACTATGAGTTTTTGGTTATGCCCTTTGGGCTAACAAATGCTCCTTCATCCTTCCAAGCTCTCATGAATTCTGTGTTCAGACATATGTTGAGGAAGTTTGTGTTGGTATTTTTTGATGATACCTTGATTTACAGCAGAAGTGTAGAAGAGCATGTACAACATGTCAAAGCAGTCTTCAAGTAATGAAGAATTCACAACTGTATGCTAAAAGGTCTAAGTGTGCATTTGGGGTGCCAAAGGTGGAATATTTGGGGCATTATATCAGTTCTGATGGGGTATCTACTGACCCAAAGAAGTTACAGGCAGTCCAACAATGGCCCACCCCCACTAATATAAAACAACTAAGAGGATTCTTGGGTCTAGCTGGATACTACAAAAGATTCATTAAGGGATTTGGTAATATATGCAAACCCCTTCATGAGTTACTGAAGAATGATGCATTTCGTTGGGGAGAGGCAGCAACTACTGCTTTCGTCCAAATGAAACAAGCATTGGTATCCCCTCCAGTATTAGCCAATTAGCCATGCCAGATTTTACCAAGCCATTTGTAATTGAAACGGATGCTAGTGGCAAGGGAATTGGTGCAGTATTAATGCAAGAAGGGCATCCCATTGCTTATATCAGCAGGTCATTAGCACCTAAACATCAAGCCATGTCGGTATATGATAGGGAACTAATGGCTTTGATCTTTGCTGTAACCAAATGGTCTCATTATCTCCTTGGGAAACAATTCATTGTCAGGACAGATCAAAAAGCGTTGAAGTATTTGTTGGAGCAGAATATTCATACAGATTTCCAGATAGCAGGAATTACCAAGCTAATGGCGTGTGACTTTGTTATTGAATACAAAAAGGGAACTGACAACAAAGCAGCAGATGCTCTTTCCAGAAACCCCAATGCAGAACTTTTAGCTGTATCTGTTCTAATGCATGATACCATTCTACTCTCACAGATTAAGGACTCTTGGAGGAGTGATACTACTCTGCAGGAAATCATTACCAAGTTACAGGAGCAACCTTATAAGTCCTTTACTTGGATTAATGAACAGTTGAGATGGAAGGGCAGACTGGTGGTGGGTAATGATTCCAAACTAAGGAATACTATCATATCTACATGGCATAATACTACCCAAGGCGGCCATTCTGGTATGGATGCCACTATCAAAAGATTGCAAGCCTTATTCTATTGGAAATCCCTCACTCAGGATGTTAAAACTTATATCAACAAATGTGATGTGTGCCAGAGGCATAAATATGAAGCCACTGCAACTCCCGGACTACTACAACCTTTACCTATTCCTGGAGGAGTTTGGACTGACATTTGCATGGACTTCATTGAAGGTCAACCTAAGGTCCAAGGGAAGGAAGTCATTTTGGTGGTAGTTGACAGACTCAGCAAGTATGGACACTTTATTTGCCTACAACACCCATACACTGCTCAGGTAGTAGCACAAAAATTCTTGGATAACGTCTTCAAACTACATGGTATGCCAGCGTCAATCACGAGTGACAAGGACCCCATATTTCTCAGTGACTTTTGGCAAGAGTTATTCTCACAAATGGGAGTTCAGCTGCAAAGATCCACTGCATATCACCCACAAACTGATGGGCAGACAGAAGTCCTGAATAGAACTTTGGAGACATACCTTAGATGTTTTTGTTCTGATAGTCCTTTTACGTGGGTGTCCTACTTACCTTTAGCAGAATGGTGGTACAATACCACTTACCATACCGCCATCCGATGTACACCTTATGAGGTTTTGTATGGACAAAAACCACCTATTCACCTTCCTTACTTACCAAGAGAATCAAATTCTGAAGTGGTAGACAGGTCTCTTCAAGCTAAAGAAGCTACTATCCAGCTCCTAAGGTATCACATTCAAAGGGCACAAAAAAGGATGAAGGATCTGGCGGATAAACATAGAACAAACAGAGAATTTGAAGTAGGAGTCTGGGTTTATCTCAAACTTCAACCCTACAGGCAGTTTTCAGTAGCTACAAGACATTTCAATAAACTGGCTGCTAAGTATTATGGTCCCTACTTAGTAGACGCCAAGGTGGGTGCAGTGGCATACAAATTACTAATCCCTGCCCAGGCTGCCATACACCACACCTTCCATGTTTCACAACTAAAGAAGTGTCATGAGGTGCCCTCAATCATCAATCATCCTCCTACCCTTCACTTATCCAGTCCAAATTGTCCCGTGCCACTTCAAATTTTGGAACGCAGGTTGGTTAAGAAGGGTAACAAAGTTGTGGTCCAGGTGAGAGTTGAATGGATGGGATTAGGTGCTGATCACACTACTTGGGAGTATTTGACAGAACTCCAACATCGCTTCCCAACTTTTCAGACTTGAGGACAAGTCTGTACTAAAGGAAGGGGTATTGATACAAGAAAAGAGACTGCAGGTGCTGAGCTGGATAGTTAGTTACGGATGAGTTGGAATCCTAACCAATTCTGTTGAAGATTCTGTTTCAATTCTTCTTCTCTTAATGTTGTATATAAACCCCTGCATCTTGTAATAGCTGGACATGAATGAATAAACACAAATCTCCTTCTTCTCTCTCTATATTCTCTGGTTATTCTCTCGGATTTATTCCCTGGAATATCAATTGATTCTTCGAAGTTTATGCTTCTTGGAATCTGCGTTTTTTGTGCATCAGACTTCTACACTTTGTGACTGTTAATTGATAGTGGAGCCTCACATCATATGACAGGAATTTTATCACATTTGTTTAATCAAGGGGATATTTCTCCTCACTCCATTTGTCTTCTTGATGGGTCTCGCATTCAAGCTGTTAAAAAGGGAAGTGCGCGACTTTCTCTTGGTTTGGTCCTTCATAATGTGTTATATGTACCAAACTTACACTGTCATTTGATATCAGTTGGTTGTTTGGTTCGTGATACTACTTGTCATGTTGTTTTTAATGATCATTGTTGTGTAATACAGGACCGTATATCAAAGATGGAGATTGGACGGGGTAACTTACGGAACGGAGTATATGTCTTTGTTCCATCGTCAGTTTCCGCACAAGCGGCCAGTGTTGATCCTTTTGTTCTACATCAACGGTTGGGACATCCATCCATTGAGGCAAAATCCTTTCTTCATTCTAATAAAACCAGTACTGCTGTTAAGAAATTACAGACATGTGAAGTTTGTTTCTTGTCCAAACAAACTCGTTCTTCTTTTTCTATTAGTCATAGTAAAGCTGCTGCTGTTTTTGATTTGATACATTGTGATTTGTGGGGTCCATATTCTGCTTGTATAGCTTTCGGTGGACATTATTTTCTCACCATTGTTGATGATTTTTCACGGGTAGTTTGAGTTTACCTTATCAAAACTAAAAGTGAGGTTACGTCTTGTCTGAAGCGTTTCTTTGCGATGATTCACACTCAATTTTCCAAAACCATAAAAGTCGTTCGGTCAGATAATGGGACTGAGTTTCTTAATGAGCTTTTACGCCAATATTATGATTCTTTGGGTGTGTGTATTCAAACTTCTTGTGTAGGAACTCCACAACAGAATGGTCGGGTTGAGCGTAAACACCGTCACATTTTAAATGTGGCTCGATCCCTTATGTTCCAGGCATCACTTCCAATCGAGTTTTGGGGGGAATGTGTCAAAACAGCAGTGTATCTCATCAATCGTACTCCCACCAAACTTCCTGGGGTAAGTCTCCTCTCCAAATTTTATCCTCCGAGCCGCAAGATTTGAGTCATCTTCGTGTTTTTGGTTGTCTGTGTTTTGTTCGTCAAAAATCCACAAATAAATTCTCTCCCCGTAGTGTGAACTGTGAAGTGTATGTTCGTTGGCTATCTTTTCGGTACTAAAGGCTGGCGGGTTTACAATCTTGAAACACATAATTTTTTTCACACTCGGGATGTCACCTTTGATGAGACCCAATTCCCGTTTGCCATTCCAAACCGAACGCCTTCTCAACCAATTTCTGTCCCATCAACGGAGGATTTTCCAGCTCTCCCAAGTTCTGACCCACCCCATATGCCCGTTGATCAAACTCCTCCGTCATCACAGCCTTCATCTCCTTCGTCCCCGACATCCTCCCTTCCATCTGTTAGCAGTCCGTCACCCTCACCGTCTCCGTCTTCAGATTCTAGTCCGGGGACTACCTCGTTGGAGACCACCTCTCCACCGGTTCCCCTTTCTCCCTTGCCTCCTCGAACTTGTCGTCTACCTTCTCATCTCCATGATTATGTCCTCTATTCTGTAAAGACCATTCCTCCTGTTTCTTCGGTGCCCAGTTAGTCTTCATCAGGTACACGGTTTCCTCTTACTCACTTTGTTCATTATAATAAATTACATGACAGGTACAAAAATTTTCTTGGTGCCATTGATGCTTCCTTCGTCCCACGTAACTACCGCGAAGCTGTTCAGTATGCTTCGTGGCGTGAGGCCATGGCGCAGGAATTTTTAGCTCTGGAGCGCAATCATACATGGGATATTACAGATCTACCTCCGAATCGGAAGGCCCTGGGTTGTCAATGGGTGTACAGGACTAAATATCGCTCTGATGGCACCAAAGAGCGGGATAAAGCTCGCCTAGTTGTATTGGGCAACCACCAAGAGTTTGGTGTGGATTTTACAGATACTTTTGCTCCCGTAGCTAAGTTAGCCACAGTTCGTGTTTTATTATCTGTTGCTGTTGCTCGGGGTTGGCAGGTGGATCAGTTAGACGTTAATAATGCCTTTTTGCATGGAGATTTGCAGGATGAGATTTATATGAAACTTCCTCCCGATTATGAGCAGTTGTATCGTGGAAAAGTTTGTCGACTGCGCAAGTCTTTGTATGGACTTCGACAGTCCCCTCGTAACTGGTTTACCAAACTTCGTATGGCCTTACGACGTTATGGTTTTCGTCAGGCCCATGCTGACCATACATTGTTCGTTTTTCGTCGGGGACCTGATATGATGGTTGTACTAGTATATGTTGATGATATTCTTGTGGCAGGAAATAATGCTGAGCTGTGATCGACATTTAAAAAGTACCTGGATGCTTGTTTTCATCTCAAGGATATTGGACCTGTCTCTTATTTTTTAGGCATTGAGTGTGCTCGCTCGCCGGTAGGTATGGTTCTAAACCAAAGGAAGTATGCTATGGATATTATTCAGGAGGTCAATCTGTCAAGTTGTAAACCAGTTGATACTCCCTTTCCGGTTGCTCATAACTTGTCTCGCTCCACTAGTGCTGAGATTCGGGATCCTATGAAGTATCGACGTCTTGTGGGCCGTCTTTTATATCTAACCATTACTCGTCCAGATATTTGTTATGCTATACATACTTTATCCCAGTTCATGCAGGCTCTGCGGTTAGACCACTGGAATGCGGCGTTACGCGTGATCCATTACCTCAAGGGTCATCCTAGCCAAGGCGTTTTGTTACGCAGTGATAGTAATCTTCCTTTGACCGCTTTTTCAGACTCTGATTGGGCCAGTTGTCCTCTCACCCGTCGTTCTATCACAGGTTATTTAATTTTTCTGGGTGGTTCTCCTATTTCTTGGCGTACTAAAAAGCAAACCACATTTCACGCTCTTCTGCTGAGGCCGAATATAGGGCAATGGCGAACGCCTGCACTGAGATACGATGGCTTCGTGGCTTACTTGCTGCATTGGATGTTCCTTGTGTTGCTACGCCGAAACTCTATTGTGACAACAAGTCTGCTCTGTTTATTGCTGCCAATCCGGTGTTCCATTAACGTTCCAAACATATTGACATTGATTGCCACATTGTTCGTGAATGTATTCAGCGTAATCACATTGTCACAGCATACGTCCCTACGCGTCTTCAGACGGCAGATCTTTTCACCAAAGCGCTTTCTGGTCCTCTGTTTCAGGCATTATTATCCAAGTTGGGCATTTATGATATTCATGCTCTAACTTGAGGGGGAGTGTTAGCGTGTATATATTTTATGTGTGTATTTTGTATTAGTCTCCTCGTTTATATCACCGAGCTGGTTCATCGTTTGTATCACCCATATTCATATTTATGGGCATTTGTATCAATTCCAAGTTCCAATTCTTCTTCAACACCTTAAAGGCAAAAAATGATTGGGGGTCATGCCTCCAACTACCTTAAGGTACATCCGACACTGATCATCGGTGCACCTTTAGCCTTAGGAATTATTGTTGAGTAAGAAAGTTTACGTAACTCGAATAAGTTTAGTATCATTTCATCTAAGATTATTCTTGACAATTAAAAAAAGAAAACATGTTCCAATAGATCCATGTCTCGTAATGAGTATTAACAAAAGTGAAACTCAAGCATTGTCATTTTTAAATCATTTTTAACCATGTTGATATTCACTTTCGGTCACTTTTATGTTACAGTTTCATAAGTGAGCGCAAGACATGATTAAAAAGTATTAATTTTAGATGACTTTAGGAGCTAGAGCAACTCTATCGAAAATGTTGTGTTTGTCAAAATCTTCAAAAAAAAAATTGATTTAAATAATTTTTTGTCATGTTCACTTTCAAATTTGTATATTAGTATTTTCATCGAATCTAAGTTATATCGAGATCGAGATGAGTACGTATACGAAGAAGAGGTTGGAACTATCAAAGCACCATAGTTTTTTTTGGAACTTAAAAGTGATTTGGGTGTTGGAACGTCCTCATGTAGTCGGCCGAGGTATTTCTAGGATGGAAGTGATACTTTTGCAACAAAAATATTCATTGCTAAATGTTTGATTCAAAACACTTATTCAACTTTTGATGGTGATGCTTCTAATTTTATAGATTGTATTAGAAATATATGTGGTTTAATCCTTTGATATAATTACAGTAGAAAAAAATACAGAATAAAAAAAACTTTTACTTCACTTTGTGCATGACACAGGTTAAAATACTAGTGATTTAAAAGAACGAAAGATTTTACTTCGTAATCCAAATATTATAATCTACTCCGGTCTCCGTAATATGGAACGAAGTATATACTGGACTTTATGGGTCTCTTATTGGGTTTATGGGATTACGCCCATTTTCCCTAAGACAAAATACTACGTACTTCATCCGTTCAAATTTACGTGTATTTTTAACTTAGCTTTCTCTTTTGGGTATGAGTGGAAAAACATATATGCATGCATTGGGTTAGAAAACCCTTGTAGTCGTATTACCAAACAAAAATTTTGCAGAATGTCAGCAAATAAGCTACTGAAAGAATGTTATCAATGATTCTGTTATGAACTTAATGTATAAAGTTATCTTGTTTGCCTGTTTGGCACAATAACATCCACACAAGCACTCTTGTGCTGCCCATTCCTTTTGTCCTAAAAGGCTTCTGTCTTTACAGCTTGGATTCCATCATTCACAAATTAGCTCAACTACAAGTATGTAAAGCAATCTTCTTCTCAAGGGAATTCTTGCTAGCACCTATGACTTTGTCAACCTCAATTCCATTTTTTATAAAGATGAAAGTTGGCACACTGCCAATGTTCCATTTAGCAGCCACATCTCTGGCCTCATCAATGTCAACCTTCAAAAACACAACGTTTGGATACTTCCCGGCCCAGCTTGTATAAAGGGGTGACATGTAACGGCAAGGCCCACACCATGTTGCAGTGAAATATATTATTGCAACTCGCGATATTTTTGACGCAGCATTTAACTTCTTATTCAACTCCTCCTGACCATGAACTGCAATTACTTCACCTGATGTGACAGAAATTACAAGCAGAGAAACAACATTTCTAAGTCTTGCACAAGACCGCCTCAAAAATCCCAATCCATGACTCGGATCAGGGTAATGAAATAATGCATTCAAAGTAGGTTCAAAACAAAATGTATTATACTATAATAGTTTTACGCACAAATGAAACGTTATGCTCTACATGAACCATAGTAACAGAGTTTACAGTAAAGGAGCAAGAGATGTCGTTTACACTAGGAATTTTGAGGCTTTAAACATTACAAATACAACCAGATACTCCCTCCATAGTGATGTGATTTACACTAAGAGTTGTTTCAGACACTTTTTATACTCTAAGAAAGTCACTTATCACCACCTCATGGTTGAAAACCAGTGTTGTCAGTCATACGAAATAGCAACGGTGCATAACTGAGCAGCGCCTGGCTACTATCAGGTCCTCTGCAGCAGGGTGGCTGGGTCTTGCGGCCATATCTGGAACAGTGGCGTGGAAAACCGCAGCCATTGTGGGCTAGATAGCAGTGCAGCTTGGATTTGTTTTTTCTGCTCTACGATTTGGGGGCTTCGGTGGATAATTTTGGGTTTAAGGGTTTTTTTCAGGGTAATATTGGCTTCTACACCAACGATAACCTACTCAGTGAAGTCCCACAAGTGGTGTCTGGGGGTTGCGGTTTACGCAGGGGTGTAAAACACCCTTTACAAGCCTTTTCTATTTTAAAAAACTTTTTTTGTCATCGCTTCTCTCAAGCCTTGCAAACTCTTCGACATACCACCTCCCACCCTAGCAAATCTTCAACATCCAACCTCCCAAACCTTACAACCAGGGTGACCCATCTCATTCGTTCTATGACATCCAGCCATCCTAACCAAGTTGTGATAGAGTATGGGTATTAAAAAAGGAAACACACAGTCTAATCTTCTAGCTTGTTTAAGCCCAACAGTGAGAATCTTGGTTCTAATTGGGAGTGGAACAACTTGAAATATTCAAAAGACAAGGCTGTTACCAATGATGTTTATGGCAAAACAACGATATGAGGAATTACCAAAGCCAAGATACACCAAATGACGATAAGGAGAGAGCTTGCAGTAAACTCTATCTGATATGACTCTTATTGAAAGAAACATATAAGAGGAGATAAGGGGAAAGGATACATACATGAAGGAGTTGCAAAAAGACCAAGATGAGATGGAAGAGGAAATGCTGAATATCCAAAGGGGCAAAAGGCTTTTAACACCATCAGGTGAGGTCCCTTTTCCTACCGTCAAACAAAAAAGTACTCCCAAAGAGCCCTTGGACGTGCTGTAGTTTAGGAACTCAGAAAAATGCTTACATGCAAATAGTGTTTCTATTAATGCTGTAAAATCAAACTGTCTCAAGATGATGGTTGAGACAATTGGAAATCATGGTACTCATCTTAAGCCTCCAAGCGACAACAGTGTAGAATTACACCAATTAGCAAAAGAGATGGAATATAAAAAAGATTGTTGAAGAGTCATGAAGAAGAATATGCTATGTATGGCCGTATGAGTGTTCAAATGTGTCAGATGGCTGGACAGATGTAAAGAAATAGAACCTTAATAAGTTTTTTGGTTACTGATTTCTGATTTAACTTGTAATAGGAAAGCCATTGCAAGTTCAGAGGATGGTTTATCTTGGACTCCATGGGCTGTCAACTTTGTAAACTTAATGCTTGAAGACATTGGGAAATTCACTAGAATTAAACTCCAATACGAAAAGGTAATAGCGTTGTTCATTTAATCTATGACCACAAAATAGCTTTGAAACAAGATGAGAAGTTCATAAACAAGATGGAATCTTTTAGGTGTGGGATTACAAGGTGATAGAGCCTGAGCCTCACATCTGGACGTAAGTGCATCAGGTCATGCGCATCTGTGTGGAATAAGGTCAAGGGTTGCGTGGGAGCGGTCGTGGATTCCAAAGTCACCCCCCGGAGGAGGTTGTCCAAGGTCTCGAACGCCCCCCTAGTACACGACCTCCACCCTGTGAGGTCAGTACTCCTAGAGTTGTCTCAGATGATGGGGGCAGAGCCACGCATTCATGCCCCTTATGAAAGGGGAGAGGTCGGTACTCCCCTAGTCGTCTCACACAACCATGCCAGAGGTTGACCTATGCATCCCTGCCCCTTATGAAGGGTGTGCACTGCTACTTTTAGCAAGGCCATGTGCACCCTTAGGCCTCTTACCCTCAGCTAAGATTCATGCACGAGGTACAACAGACACACTCTACGACAAACACAACATGGAGATGCTCTAGTCACCCATCAAGGATATCAGACAAGCACTGAACAATGAGGAAAGCGATGCACAGCATCTGTTGGAGAAATCGAGACCAGATGAATAGGACAAACATCATGCAACAAAGAGATGTCAATAACAGGTCTGGCCTGTTGCTACAGTACATTTCTTTTTCTACGATAAATACCCCTCACTCCCTCATTGTAAGGGATCCAAGAATTGAGATCTCTAACAGTGTGTTGTGCTTTGTTCTATACTACTCTCTCACGATCTCTCTCTCTCTCTCTCTCTCTCTCTCTCTACTGACCTCCTTAGGTTGTACTTAGTGGTTTATTGACCATCATGAGGTTTACTACATCATTCCTTGCCTTGCAAAGGATGCATTAGAAGATACCAAGTCTTGGAAGAATGTTCATTACTGATTAATGGAGAAACACGAATGTTGCTTAATATCCTAATCATAGTTATGAATGGCGAGTGGCGGGCACTATATATATATATATATATATATATATATATATACATACATACATACATACATACATACATACATACATACATATATTTATTTATTTATTTATATATAAAAATATATAACTTTCAGTTTTGTATTTTTGTTTATATTTATTTGTTTACATTTTTTATTTTCAGTATTTCAAATCTTTTTTTTAATTCTTATTACATAAATAAAATTTTGAAGTCATTTCGTACAATTTATTCAATTATTAATGGAATTATTTATTTTAGAATAACTAAGAGAACTATTATTCTAAAATAAATAATTCCATTAATAATTGAATATATTGTATGAAATGACTTTAAAATTTTATTTATGTAATTAGAATTCCACAAAAAAAAATTGGAGTACTGCAAATAAAAAAATGTAAACAAATAAATATAAACAAAAATACAAAACTGAAAGTTTAATAAAAATCATAACCGAAACCTGACCATATATGCATAGGGGAAGCTTATAGCAAACGCCAAACATGATAGGGTTTTCTTTTGAAATATTTACACTAAATAGCACTAAAACTTAAGTCATTTCCTCAAATAGTACTTAAACTGTTTTATTCCTTAAATAACACTTAATAATGTCCATAATGTCTAGTGATGGCGAATATTTGCTTGAATAATGACTAGTACATAATGACTAAAAGTGCTACATTGGGAAGAAAAACACATGCGGTGCTATTTAGGGAAAGTCATTATGTTTTAGTGCTATTTAAGTAAATTCCTCTTTTCTTTTTAAGATTAAAATGAAATCCGGGCCTGGTTGGGTTGGATTGGGTCGGGTAGGTTTAGGAGAAATAGTCTATAACAATTGCAAGTTGCGATTAGAAGCCGGCAAAGGGAGCAGCTAATCGATAACAATACAGCGACGAATCTGAAGGAACGGGTGGAAAAAATAAAATAAAATTGGCAGCGATCGGAAAGGCATGAGTTGCGATCTCCTAGTGCCATTGCTTTCATCGGAGATGGCGACCGCCATGGCACGCCTTAAGCACATCGCCTTGCTTGACCAAATTCAGGTGCTGGAGGGTCGCCACAGTGCAATAACCGCCATAACCCATGGCACTCGCCTTTCATAACTATGATCCTAATGTGATGGAGGTAGTTGGCTTTGTTATTAATCATGCATTTTGAAATGATGTTGTTTACATTCTTAAGGTAATGCTAGCTAATCATGAGAAAATTCTGCATCGGTTACATTTATGACAGAAGGGATATAGCCAAGGATAGAATTCAAAAAAAATCAAGGAAATGAAAGAAGAGACAAAGTATTTGAGTCATTCACATAAAATGAGAAACTCAACTCCATTCATTGCAAGCAGCTGCTCATTTTCTAAAGCCTTCATTTTACTACAACAATTCAGGAATGGATCCTGATCATGAAGTTATGCAAGGGGTTCATAAATGTTTTTGAAAGGCTTGGTGAAAATGAAGAAATTGAAGATACAATTTCACATGAGTTGACAGCCTATAAGAGGGAAGACCAGCAAACGGTCTTTGGGTTGACAGCAAGACAAAGGAACACAATCGCTTCTGGTAAGTGAAGTGCAAAACTGCATTTTTTATTAAGTATCTTGATCTTGACTACCATGATTCTAACAATGGTGAGACTAGCTCAACCGCGATGAGGGTCTGCGTGTGGAACCGCGATGAGGGTCTGCGTGTGGGTGTTGGGGGGGGGGGACATATCCAAGTTTAAAGAATGATTCATTTCGTTTCATTTCTCTCCTATTCTACTAAGAAAGGGTGTGCCTAAGCAAGCAAGCATAAACAAAGCAGCAAATAGCGCACCAAAAAGCTACCTTAAGATATGAAATACATTTTTTTTGTTTTAACGTGTTGCAGTTACCCATGCTCACAAGTTATAAGCGTATAAAAAGGTAAGTCTCAAGCAAATTGGCTAGTTTAAAAAAATTAGCAATTCAATGAGTGTCCACATACCATCCTTGAGAACAGAAGCAGATTCAGGGCCCTGCACCAATGTAAGAAAGAATATTACGAGAAATGGAAACTGGAAGACAAGACTAACCAACTTCTAACTCTCTCTTTTCCCTTGGTAGATTATTTTTCTGTGCAAATAAAATAACTCCACTTCCAAGTTATGTCAAGAGTATGGAACTAGTTTCATATAAGATCCAAATATTTGTTTGTATAGCCAACTTATTTGTTTGGGTAGTGGATTCTACTTAGCCCCATATTTGTGCAAGATTGCTAAAATTTTGACAGATGCATTAAAACAGTGAGAATGAGAAGCAGATCTGAAATAGAAGCAAATTATCATCTCTAGACTACTTCAACTCATTCATATCCTTGTAGACTTTAAAAAGGAGTGCTCAAAAAGTTTTGCCGGATACAACTGTAAATTCATTGTGATATGGGGTGCAAGGGAATTCTTTAATCACTTTTCATATTTACTTACTGTATTTATTACAAAAGGGGAATACACAGAGGACATTAATCGACAGAACAAATGAATTTATGCAAATAATGTTAGTGTATGATGGGAACAAAACAATAGATAAGAGATACAGAGTAAAAAATTAAAAAAAGTGTAAAATAACAAGCATGCTTCAAAAACTTCAAATAGTCCAAATGCAGAAGAAAGTAAACTAATGGCATGCCCAATGGAAGAATCATCAATTAACCAACCAGAAGGTTTTGTAACTAATTCCTCTATCTATAAATGTAAATTAGAACGACTTTAGGATAATCTTAGCGACCCTGACAAAGAAACATTAATTTGCAACCTGCCAACTTGCTAACATAAAGCCCATATAACAACACAGCAAAAACACCATACATGAAGAAAAACTAGCTTAACTAGAAGTTGTACACTTGTACTTACAGAAGTTTGTTCCACTTTCTCCTTCTTAAAAATAAACTGCAATGAAATTTTTTTAACAGGTATGAGCTTCAAAAACCAGTCAATGAAAGAATTATAAAATGCACTTATATAGAGTTATATAATTCTAAGCACCTCTGCTCTTTTCCATTGTCTCTCGCGCTGAATTTTCTTTAGCTCTCTCTCCTTCCGCAAACGTTCATATTTCCAGCGGTGCTCTTCAATTTTACGGGCATTAGGTTCAACCTATCATGTTTTGGAGATGCAAGAAAAGCTTTTGTGAACCTTTCATGTGTAAAGCAGGGAAATGAAAGAAAGAAGCAAAACCAGCACTGCTATACCTTTTTTAGCGCCTCATTGATTTCTTCATCAAAATCTATCTGTGATGCAACATGCAGATCACTAGCTGCCTCTTCCCACAGTCCTAACATTGCCCTTGCTATTCCTCGGACTTTATATCCTTTTGCTAAGTCGGGGTTGATCTTTTGTTCAAAATACTTAATCAAATAAATGCAGCATAAAATTGCAATACAAGCATTTGTATAATTGCATGATTTTCACATTCATTCAATTTAGCATAGTTTTTGTCTTCAAATAGCAGCACACAAACCTGTAAAGCAGCATTCGCATCACATATTGCAGCATTTGGCTTCTTGAGTTTAATAAACACATTACCTGTGCAAGCATACCACTTTCTAAGAAAAATTTAAATATGCAGTAATAAGTAAAAAAAAGGGGTCATCCATACATTTAGTTCCGATTGATTTTATGTGGTAGAATCACCTCTCATTGAATATAATATTGAGGAAATTGGATTCAACAAAATAGCTTCTGTTAAATGATCCATGGCTTCATTCAGATTCCCTAACAGAAACACTTATCCATAAGCATATACATTTCTAAAGTAACAATAGAAAATTACGCACAATATCGTAATCACAGTAAAAGGTTAGAATATAAATACCCTCAGAAATTGCGTCCATGGCTTTACCCTTCAAAATCTGAGCAGCATCTTGGTTTTCCTCTGTTACTTCTCTTGAAGGATCACCCATCTCCCATGGCACAAGAGACAAATTTGATCAATATGAAAAATGAAAATGCACACGTATGATTAAATTGCATCTCCAAATACATTGCATACCTTCTGGGGGAGATCATTGTCAGCCTCCACAACATCGGTACTATCCAATTCAACATCAGACTCAACTATACCATCATCCATAGTATCATTACTTGAAACATTGGGCTTCTTATAATCAGGAAACTCTTCATCATAATTTTCCTGTAGGATATTCTAATAAGTTAATTGTTTATACAAAATTTTAACACCTAGCAAGTCCCAAAGTAGAAAGAACACCAACAAAAACAACAACAAAGTCTTATCCCACTAGGTGGGGTACACGACATGGATCAAACGACGTCATTGCACCCTATCATGTATCATATCTGCTGTGAGATCATTCAAGCGAAGGTCCCCTTCACCACTTCTTGCCAAGTCTTCTTAGGGCTACCTCTTCCTCTAGCCACATGTCTATTCACCATTTGAACCCTTCTCAGAGGATGCTCAAACCACCTAAGACGAGTTTCCACCAACTTTTTTCTACAATAGGTGTCACTCCAACTTTACCTCTCTTGTCTTCATTCTTTATTCTATCCATATGAGTATGACCGCTAGCATCTTCATTTCCGCTTCCATACAATATAGCTAGTCTAATCGCAGTACAGTAAAATTTTGCCTCTAATTTTAAAGGTACTTTTTGTCATATATAAAGCCCGAAGCAATCCACCATTTTGACCAACCGGCTTGGATCCTGTGGTTAACATCGTCCTTTATTTCTCCATTGTCTTGAGCGATACACCCAAGATATTTTAATCTTTTTACTTGTGGTATAGTATTTTCTCCGACTTTCACCATGATGTTACTATTTCTCCTTACGTTGCCAAACGTGCACTCTGCTCTGTTTTAGTGCATGAAACTCCAAAGCCGGTCTCCACAAATCCAACTTCCAACTCAAATCCTCTCTTGATTTTCCCATAAGGATGATGTCATGGTACAAGTTTTTGAATATGCTCGGTAAGAAAGTCCAATACTGGTGTAAAAAAATATGGACTTAATGATGACCCTTGGTGTAATCCTACACAGAATTCCCCTGTTACCCCACTTTGACAATTCACGCTCATTGTAGCACCATGTACATGTCCTTAATCACACGAATATACGCAATCCTTACTCCTTTTTCTCTAAAACCTTCCACAAAACTTCTCATGGTACCCTGTCATATGCATTTTTGAAATCAATAAAAACCGTGTGTAAATCTTTCTTATGAGTTCGGTACCTCTCCATCATTCTCCTCACGAAGTATCCAGCCTCGGTAGTTGCTCTTCGTGGCATAAAACCAAATCGGTTCTCTGACACCGAAGTCTCTTGTCTCAACCTCCGTTCCACCACTCTTTCACACAACTTCATCGTATGACTCATGAGCTTGATCCCTTTGTGTTCCATGTCCATCCCATTTTGCTTCATCAACTATACGGCGTTGGAAATCCATTTGCTTATCACTTTTCAACTACCACCATCTAGTCGTTGGGTTCCTCTCTTGGCGACTTCTCCTTACCGTTTAGTTCAAGTGTCTTATTACCCAATTCAGTTACTCCTACTCAATTTTTAGTTCTATCATCAGCCATACTTCCTTGATTGCAGCCCACTCAGCAAGCATTGTTTGCTACTGTGGAACCACGACTTCCACCCTACCCTCTACGACTACGGCCAGCCGCAGTCGACCTCCGCCACGGTCACCGCCCTTTGAATTCTAGTTCTCCGGACATGACCTTACATTGTAGCATTGGGAGGCTAAGGATTATGGTCGTAGGGTAGGCCTTTGTGGGAATGGTCTATCCTTGTTTAGGAAATGATGATTTAGCTTATTGTAGTAGGATGTGTGTTTGGTTCTCTTTCTCTCTCTCTTCTTAATTTCTCTCTTCTTATTTTCTTCTACTTGTTGATTTATGCTTACCAGTTGAACTGCACTAAAAGATATTATGTGGTTCAAGTAAAGACCTTATTAACCCAATATACTTTTCTAACTTTCTGATGTGTGATAATTTAACACTCCCTTTATATGGCACAGCAACAATAGTTCAATTCAACTGGCTCTAGCTTATAAGTAACTAAAATTCCTGTTGTACACTATTGCTATGGGTGACGAAAGTGTCACAACTACAATTGTTCAAAGCAATACGTGTTGTCAGTGAAAAGGTCTTACTATACCCCTACGTAGGGCATAGTTGGATAAGCAAACTCATATTACTTGCTCCTATGTTTCAGATACACCTCTTCTACTTCTCTAACACGAAAAACAAAACAGATTAAAAAAATCGTTTCCTTGATTTATATTACAAGTATCTACAGCCTACAACAGTAGAAGCAGGTGGAAAAAGAACCAAATCTTACAGTTTTGATCTTCGGAGGAATAAGAGCTCCCATGCTGAAAATCAAGTGTTTCAATTAATTAAAAGCGTGCTGGCAATAGGAGAAGGAAAAGTAGCAAGGAATGACGCAGAAAAAATACTCCAATACCTACCTTTCCAGATAGCTCTTAAAAAATGAAAGAGAAGGATTGTATAAAATTGAAGGGTTTGCTTTGCAGCGATCAACGAAGAGCTTTAGATCTTCAAGCCTCCTTGCGTCCATCTCCACCTCTCAGGCAGTCTCTATACTTCTCCCTCTAGTCTAGCCGTCTATTCTTTTTAGAAGAAAAAAATGAATAAATTTTATAACTGGGCCTATTCTTTAGGGCAAATTATATTATACATTCGGTTGTACCCAATTTGGGTACAACCGGTAAGTAGAAAGAAGAAGAAGAGCTGCATCGATCGGAATCGGAGGAGAAAGGAAAGGTTCAGGCTACCGTATGGAATGAGAGGTGCTCCTTGGCCGAGGAAGCTGCTAATGGCTGCGTCGATTGGAATGGGAGAATGGAGAGGTCTAATCGGGTCGGGTTAGGCTGCTGTATGAAAGGAGAGGTGCTCCTCGACCAAGGAAGCTGCTGATCGGTGCTCGATAAAACAACCCTAGTCGGGTCGGGTGGCGCAGGAGATAAAGAAATTATTTATGGTATGGATTTTATTTTACATGAGAATGAACACTAAGTTATTTGATAATGAGTACTGTTTTGTTTCAGAATGAACACTACATTATTTGTAGATGAATATTATAATTATATTGAACCAATGTGTGAAAATGAGTACTGCATTATTTTAGAATGAGTACCACGCTAATTATATTTGTGCGAGAATGAGTACTACTATACTTCAGAATAAGTACTGCCCGGATGTACCTATCTCTAGGTACATCAGGTTGTACGATATAGGAACTCATTCTTTAGAGTAGGATGAGGAAGCACCGAACCGATCCCGATATTTCCCAAAACAATCGAGAATATTGAACCGAAAAATACCGAACCGATAAATTACCGAAAAGAAACCGAACCGTACCGAACCGAACGGTACGAGGTTACTTCTCATACCGAAATTCCCGAACCGAACATATATACTACTCCCTCCGTCCACCTAAGTTCTTCCCGTTACGCGTTACGAGTCTTGAATAAGACAATTTTTTGTATATTAGTCTACATGATAAAACAGGAAAACATTAATATGTTAAGTTATATTTAAAAAATTATGGATACAATAGTGACATTGAATGTTTTATGAATCTAACTTTATATAAGACCTCTCACTTTTCCCTTTATTACTTAAAATTTTCTCATTTTTCTAATTTTTATAAAAAAAATTGTAAGTCAAAATAGTTTAGAGAAAAAGACTAAAATATGAGTAAAACATAAAAAATGTATTAAAAAAGTTCTATGTATTTGTTCCAAAAATAGGACTTCAATGAAAATAAAATGTTAATCATGAAAGAAAGAATAGGTTTGATTACATTATGTGACATGTCTGATATTTAAAACAAAATCTTGTAATATGTAAAGTATAATTACAAATATATTATTTATAATAAATACTGCATAAATAAATTGAGGTGCAATATAACCACAAAGACTTTTTAAAATTTAATATTTTTATATTTATGCGAACTTTATATTATAATTATTTTTTTGCAAAAGTAATTTTTTGTATTTAAAAAATAACAATACTTTTTTGTATCTTAAAGGCATTCATTAAGATAACGTGATAATGATGATGATTATGATGATGATGATGATGATGATGATGATGATAATAATAATAATAATAATATTAATAATAATAATAATATAATAGTAGTAATAATAATAATATAATAATAAAATAATATAATTATAATAATAATAATAATAATTGATAACAACAAGAATTTAAAATAAATGTTTTTAACGTTTTTCTGGGTTTTCCAATTTTTTGAAGTTTTTCCAGTTCCTTACAATTTTTTCCAGTTTCTTCCAGTTCGTTCCAGTTTCTTCTAGTTCCTTCCAGTTTCTTCTAGTTCTTCCAGTTTCTTCTAGTTCTTTCCAGTTTCTTCTAGTTTCTTCCAGTTTTTTCTAATTTCTTCCAACATCCAGCTCTTTTTTTCCAGTCCTAAAGAAAATGCTCTAAGTCTTATATTATTGAATAGAGTAAATTACATAAATGGTTCCTACTAGTACGTGATTTTTCATATTTAGGCTCCGTTCCATTCAACTTATTTTTTTTGATCTGATCTGATTTTTTTTCTAGTTCTGCTCTGATCTGGTTTGGTCTGATCTGATCTGATCTAATTCGATCTGATCTGATTCGATCTGATCTGATCTGGTCTAATCTGAATTGATCTGACTAATTATGATTTGATTTAAAATTCAAATCAATAATTTGATTTAACTTTATAATAACATTAAAAAATTGTAATGATAATTCATATTATAATATAATCAATATTTTTTATTTTATTATTATTTTTAATAAAACAAAATTACTTAATTCATATATTAGAATAATAATTCATATTATAATGTAATCATATTTTTTATTTTATGATTACTTTTTTGTGAAATAAGAATATTGATTTAGTATTTTAATAATTAGTTCATATATACATTAGAATAAATATTTAATTTATATATATATACTTTAAAAAGTAATTAAATTTAGATAATCAATATAGAGAAGGGATAGTATTTTTATTAAAATATCTCATCCTTATAAAAGATCAAAAGTTAATAAACTCAAATTACGGGTAGCAATAAAAATGTATTTTAAAAGTAGAATTAGATTGACATTGACAATGTATTTTAAAAACAATTTTTCCAACGTCTAATAATTAAGGATTACTTTCTCAATTTTCTATTGGGAGAAGGACCAAACTAGGAGTAAAAGTTATGTTATATTCTCAAATAGGAGCTAAAACTTAAACTCCTCTAAATAGGAGTAGTTAATTAATTTTTGTCCTCAATTCTCTCTTTCCACGCTTTCTTAGCTTCTCCCTTTGTTTTTTTTTCTTTTCTTGCATGCGTGTACACACTTAAGGAGTTAAGGGGGGGTTGGGCCTTGGCATTGAGTTATGGTTAGGAATTAGAATGAATTAGAATAGATTAGAAAAAGTGATTATTTATTATTATTATTATATTATAAAATCTTTATATTTATTTATTGAATTATAACAACAATTTTGCTCATAACTTTTTACACCAAAGTCTAAACTTAACAAACTTTATGCTATTAGTCACCTTTTTATGAGATCAACCCAATTACCTATTTTTTGAATTAAAAGGTTGGCTTTACAAATACTAATTTGTAATAGCATAAAGTTTGTTAAGTTTATTACCCAATCACCTTTTTATGAGATCAAACAATACCACACTTAATGCCAAAATTCTTAATCAATAAATATATGAGACCTGATTAATACCTTGTAGATATATGTCAAAATTTTTAAGCAATAAATAGAAAATCAGTAAATTACTACAGTAAAATGTCTATACAGTGTCAAACAAGACCGCATTTAACGCCACACGTAACCGCATAATGANAAGGTTGGCTTTACAAATACTAATTTGTAATAGCATAAAGTTTGTTAAGTTTATTACCCAATCACCTTTTTATGAGATCAAACAATACCACACTTAATGCCAAAATTCTTAATCAATAAATATATGAGACCTGATTAATACCTTGTAGATATATGTCAAAATTTTTAAGCAATAAATAGAAAATCAGTAAATTACTACAGTAAAATGTCTATACAGTGTCAAACAAGACCGCATTTAACGCCACACGTAACCGCATAATGACAATCATGTCATTGTATAAAGTCATACATGCAAATGCATAATGCTAAACCAAGAGATAATGTCAAATATGACAATATATAGTGTCACAGTTGGCAATGTATAATGACAGATATGCCAATGTATAATTTTACATATAACACATATGTTAATGCATAATCTCAAAAAAGTTAAACTTCAAGAAACTCTATTTGCCAACACAATAATCATTTCGTTTCAATATATGTTTTACAAAATAATTTTCTAAGAAGTAAAAATAGATTTAAAATCAAATGTCACAATCTATTTGAAATTGAATATAAAATTAATTAAAGTTTCAAACTAACGCAAGGCTAAAAGAATTAGTATCAATTTTACAAAATAATTCCCGAAAAAGTAAATTTTTAGATTTAAAATTGAATTTAACTACTTATGTCAAATTAAATATCAAATTGAATTCAAACTTACCCAAGGGGACGGAGGCATTCGAGCCATGAAAAATAAAAATGGTGGAGAGAGTGGAAGGAGATTTTGTGTATAAGAGAAAAGGAGATGATGGAGAGTGTGGTGGAATCATTGCCGCATAGAGGAGATGGTAGCGGCATAGAGGGAATTGAGATTAAGTTGACAGCGTCAGCAACTGAGATAAGAACAAAGGAGATCGTAGAAGGATGGGATTGGGAAGGGGCCGGGTGACTTTTTCGATCGCATAGGGTTGGGATGTGGTGTGGTTAGTGCGAAAGAGTAAATCAAAACAAAAATTAATTAATTACTCCTATTTAGAGGAGTTTAAGTTTGAACTCTTATTTGAGGATATGATATATGTTTTACTCATATTTAGGGGGTTTTCTTTTTTCTAATTAACTTTTTTCTAAATTTTATTCTTTTTCATTTTTAAGAGTATTAATAATAATAATAATAATAATAATAATAATAATAGTTCTTGATGGGATCTGATCTGATCTGGTCTGATTTGATTGGATCTGATCTGATCTTATCTGATCTGATCTAGTCTGATCTGGTGTGATCTGATCTGATTTTAATAAGAATAAGAAAAAATAAGTTGAACGGAACGGAGCCTTAGTTCCTACTTACTCTGTATCAAATATTACTAGTGTAGTCCCTTTTCTTTGATTCCTTTCCACGATGAGTCCTTCTTCACTCATTTGTTGTCTACGTGTTAAATGCGATATTAAAAAAGTAATTTTCTACTTTCGCGTCTCAATTAAACACCTCACCATCCCTCCTCATATATGCATTTGTTTGCATGGTTACGATGCATCATTCACATTGTCATGTGCGACGAAGACAGTAATTTTCAGACTCTACAATTTTGCAATGAAGACAAAGGCTGGGATTAGGGTTCTGAGAGATAGCTAAGGATGGGGAGGGGTAATTTAATTGAGAGATTGATGTAGAAAATTATCACTTTAATCGTATACCAAACAAGTAGATAACAGTAGGAGTGATAGAGGACTGATTATGGAAAAGAACCAAAAAATTGGGGGCTGCACTTGTAATATTTGATAAGTAGGGAATAAATATAGAAAAATGTCTATAACTAGGGACCATTTATGAAATTTACTCTATTAAATATTACCCTGGTGATCCTTGTTTTATAGGGACCATTCCATAAATAGTTTTTTTCCTTGTATCATGTTGGTATTAATTTGAATGCTAAAAATGTAATTTCACAATGATAATATATTTCTTCTGTCATACACAATCCAAAGGCCGCTCCTAATGCGTCGTTTTTGAATTACAGTCGTTTTCTACTACAACCATAGTCTATAGATGTGGTCTTTTGTCGGAATCCTAGCCCATAATCATAGTCATTATTTTTTTGTTATCCGTCTAACCAATATCACAATACATCACTAGACATAATGTTGAT